GTCGACTGGAAGGTGATCTCTTCTAAGGATGTCCCTGGGCGGGGTACTTAGATCAGGTTTGTGACCCTACCCTAGGTACATGACTCCATCATTAGCCCCCGAATGGATTGAGGCTTGAGTGATGAAGGAGTTGATGTTGTTTCCGATTAGCCTTCGCATGCTAGTCGTGCGTTGCTTTGAACCAAAAAATCTCTTTGTTGATAGTGAGCAACTTTTCTTCAGTCGACTCGATCCATTCTTTTTCTTCGTCGAGTGATCTTTTGGACTTCGCTGATTTCCGAGCGACGGATCGCAGGGAATCCCGCGTTTGGCAGACTGATCTGCCGTCCGCGGATTCCGCGGGATACGGAATTTGGGGGAGCGCGCGAAGCGGAGCGGTCCGCGGCGCTCGGATGGGACGGGGCATAGACGCCTCGATCCCCGCGCCCCTTTTTTTGCCACGTACCGCGCTCGCGCAACTGTTTCAGGATATGATTAGATCGACCGGGCTCACCTGTCATCCACTCGGAAGGGATCTTATAAATGCGCCCGGCGAGGGTTTTTTGAACAGTGCCTCAGCATTCTCCCTCTGCTTCCTTCGTCGATGGGTTGAGGCGTTTGGCCCAATGGATGTTGAATGATTTCAATGCCTGACGTTGGTATTTTTATAGTGATGTCGAACTGGGTGTATGACAGACGATTACATGCCGCCACAGGAGCATCCGTGAGCCCTAGAGATCATGATCTCCCGTGAGTACACTAGCATACTAGTTAACAATCCATTTACTTCACGTAGGACCACGAACTTGCACCCCTGCTTTTTCTGCTGTTGTTTTTTAATACGTTCATGTTAACATCGTTTGTGTTTATTTTTTTGATCCAACCTAGCCGACCCCTAAAAAACCGCCGAGTTTGTTTCAGTGAAGTAAAATTACTCCACAAATTTTAAGCTTAAAAACTAATCCAATGCAAACAAACACAAAATGGATTCAAAGTATACTACTCAAACATACAAACTGAAACTCGGTGTCGTTTTCATAAAAAAATTAAATGTCAGTCAAGCTAAACTTTAGTAATTCAGCAATCGGATTATTCAACGATCTCCACTTAGCTCTGGACAGACCCCCGATCAAGGGTACGTGTATGTGTCGTCGTCTAGGCACCGTACATGCTCCCGCCGACCCCACTGCCACACACCCACCGATACCTATATTGCAGTCATTGTTCCCGCCGTCGCCTTCTTCGGCGCCATGGCCGCCATGGTCGGCAATGTCGACTGTGGATGGGTCTCGTGTAGCGTGTATGGGCGACAGGGGAGTAGATAAGGCGACATGGGGGCGGTGGAGTGAGCAGCACCAAGGGGACGAGTTAATTTACTCCTTGGCGGCCGATTGGAGTAATTTTTCTTACTTCTCTATGGGTTTTAGGCGATCAACTAGATCCGGTTTAGAGGAGTATACTGTTTTTCACTTCAGTAACGCGATTTAGGAATCGGCTAGAAATGCCCTTAAAGCCAAAGCTACCTGTCATAGCCAGGCATTACAGCAGCAACTTCCTCCATCCCCACCCTTCTTTACGTCTTAGGCACGCTACGACATGCAAACGATTAGTGACCACTCCGTAATCAACCTTATACACCACATTTTTAGATTAATATGATAAAAAAGATTATGTTCTCTTTTGAATA